AAATTCGTGGTTTTTATATGACAATTTTTTATTCGTAAATCTTAGCTATTTTGTCCAAAACCTTTTTTCTTATTTAGTTATAATATTTTCAAAATTGTAATATTTTAAATTTGTATTACAGTTCAATTATTTATATACGGCGAACAAAATATCTAAAAAATTCGATTTTGGATTCTCGCATAAATATAGCTATTATTCTTAATAATGTTGAGTGTCGTATTTAAGGCTCTTATTCACTCACCTCTATTCTCAGATTGTGACGTCAGAAGTGAGAAAACATAATAAGATAATAACAGTACGTACTTAATAAATATTTGCTCTTATAATAAAAGTTTATTTTTAAATAACAAGAGAGTCTACTTTTTAATTGAATTGTTTATTTTTAAAAATCATAATTTTTTAAACATGTAACGCAAATTATTTTTCGAATACGATAAGAATAGATAATTATACATTATGTATATTAATATAGAAAAGTTTATATTTCGAAAAATATAAAAATCTGTGAAATACGTATTCTTACTCGATAAAGCACTTATAAGATTACGTATGATGTCGAATAAGAGTACGGGATTCAAAATTTAATAGTAATTATTATATATAAATATTTTTCCTTTACAATTAGAGCAGGTCTTTTCTATTGCTGGTTAGAAATTTCACACAAAGTTAAGTTATTTCCAAAATTTTGACCGCATTAAAAACAAAGAATTTGACTTGAAGATTAAAAAAAACACTTTATTCGATAAATACTTTCAGGGAAGCAACAGACTTTGAGTCATATATGTATAATTCGTATTGTACATTAAAAATACAATTCAAATGAAAAAATAAATATTCTCAAGTTTTAATATTTATACAAAAGTCTTATTCGACGATTTAAAATAGATTATTTCCCTCTAATAATGTGTAACATTAGTAATATCGTACAACGATTCATTGGTAGACGAAGATACAAGAAGATTTATGTCGCAACCGTCATTTAGAAATTGGGGGTTCAATGTGCATGCTTTAGTTCGTTTGTGCCCCGAATGCGAATGTTCGCTGTCCGAACATTTATAAGGTCTCGTTCATTGTAACGCCTGTTGTGGACCCCGCGTGTAACCGGCCCAACCTCTCATTGTCGCATTCTACTTCTCTACACGCACAAAATTCGCGCGTGTCCGCGGCTTGCTGACCGCAGACAATGACGACAATGACCACTGGGTGGACCATTTAGCTTACAGGCGACCTGAGAATAGTGACCAGCCGGACTGCGGAAAACGGGTGTCCTTTCCGCGTAGCTCAAGGTGCGACCTTTTAGGCGTCAAATTGCATTGCCTGCAGACCTTGATCTCTCTATCGATCGATACTTGATATATTCCTGTTAGACATAGAAATGTTCAGTATGTTTAATTCATCAAATCTTATCGATTCTTTTATAAGTTTTTCGTTTATTGAATTTTAAAATACTTGAAAAGTTCTTTTTTTAAATCTTTCGATTATCTAACCAATAATCTATTCACTTTACTCAATGTCATTCAAGGTTGGAGTATTTCGATAATTTAACCGACGTGAATTTACGTTTCTGATTTTCTCTGTCTACTCTGTTACTGCTCGAGGCCGAAAGCGGAAAGAGCGACGCAAACTCAGCGAAAGCTCTTTCGACCAAAAGTGCAAGGATTTTAGCCAGACACGAAACGGAGCACCAGGGGCTCTCTTGAATCTAACCGCCACTTTCAATTTAGAAGCTGCTTTACGGTTTACCGCTCGCAAACCACTTTCGTCTGTGGAAGAGAATAATACCGAAAATGATAGAGTTTCAAATGTCCAAGCATATACATATTTCGAATGTTCTACTTTGTGGTGGCAAATACGCATAACAAAAGAATGATCTTGGTATTAATGGAAGTAGACAAATATTTTGAGACGAACATGCGCAAAAATGATAACGCAGTTTATAAAAAATTATAAGTTGTAACAATTACTTCATTTTTTTATTTTATTGTCCAGTATAGAAAGAAGCTTTAAATAATATCTCTGAAAATTAGAACGCGAACCTATAAACTTTGTATATTAAATAATGATTATTAAATACACTATACCGTTCATTAATTTCATTTATACCTCCAGATTCGTTGATCTCTCTGAAAAGGATAAACGTAATACGTGTGTTTTGCACATTTGCAACATAACAATGTGTATGAGTATAAAACTTGTTTATTTGCCTAAATAAATATCCGTATTCATCACAAATGAGCTTCTTTTGTTTATTACTTTTCGAAAAATCAACGATTTAGATGGTGTATTAAAATTAATGAGCGAGCTATGTGTTTTGACGAATCGGTTTCAAAATAGTATTGGACACGTATCTAATATTATTGCAGCACACTTCGTGATCTTGCGTGCGTATTTTGTTTATTTCCAGAAATCAGATATAATCCGACTATTAGTCCTGTTTTTTTTCTTCAAATTACAATGTAAAAAATTTTTTATATAAACAATGTATAAATATAATGCGTGCAAGCGTTGGAGGTATTTACAACAGGTGGACTTATTTTTGTACAAAACGCGTTTATTCAACAAATCTAGGGATGTTATTAATAATAAGCGATAGTGTAATAATTATCACATAATGATTATTATTAAATAATAATTATTTAACAATAATTTCCTTTCCTTTATTTTGTATTGTACTTCCTTGTTCAACATATCGCTACGCATTTCTACTGGCTGCAACAGCGCAGTTTAGATAAAACGTCATTCCTGTCTCGAGAAGTTACTTTTCATCAATGATCCGTCTTGCAATAGAATTAAATATACAGTCGCGAAATGACAGAATCTCGAGAAGTTATCTAGGATGAGTGTATCCTATGTACGAGCCCCACAGTGTCGACAGGTCTCTCTGCCGACGTGTTTTTCTGCATTCCGTAACATTGGTCGGTTTCCTCTGTAAACACTCTGCTTAATCACATCATGGAACAAGGCTGCTGCGGGTCAAGCGGGACGTAAGCGCTGTTTTCGCGGATTCCATCATCGGGACACCAGGGCATCGCATCAGGAATTTCTGATCGGAGAGCGACGGTTTCCGTCTACGTTGTAACAAAACCGGTTTCTCTTTATGACGGGATATCTACGGTCTCTTTCTGTCCCTCTTGGTCAGCTCGGAGTTCGTCTTTCCCACCTTCGCGTCGTTTTTGAGCAAAACGCAATTGTGACGAAGGGATGAAGAGTTTTAACATTACGCTGAAATTGAAGAAAGAATGGTTTTTTTATGATTTTGCCAAAGCTTGAAAAGTTTCTCGTTTGAGAGTCGTAAAATAAGAGTTATGATGGGCGCTATTCTACAATATTTTTGTACTGATGGTGATTATAAAGTTAGGAAGAGGAAGTCATTTGAGGATTTTAATGCAACACTAGCCTAATCCGTAATGTGGTTGAACATGTGATATTGGTTGAAATGATAGAATCTTTTATTTGATCTTGCAGGCATTGTTATTTCTAATATTTATTGAAATATATTCGACCTTATTTTTTGTGAATATCTTTTTAAAGTTTGGTTTTTTCATTTTTAGTCCAAATGTAGGTTAGTCTATATTGATGTTATAAAATCCCCAATTATAGTGTACCAACTTTTTTGAATACGTATATATCCAGACATCTTTCAAATACGTGATTTTATTATTTTCTGGATCCAGATTAACGTAATGTTAAATAATTTCAAATATATATAAGTATATCTATTTCAGAGCGTGTTAATAGGCCTTTTTAGAAAATTTAGAAGGAACATTACTGTAAAAAAATATATTCGAGATCTCATTTCGTTTTTAAAATATGTGGCTTATATAATACACTTTTCATATAGTCGTACAAAAAAATTTAGAATAAAATGTCGACAAAATTTTCCCCAGGAGGGAACTTTCAATTAATCAGAAATTTCCCCAAGCAGAGGAAAAGAAATATTTTTCCTTTCGTTGAGAAAAAAAAATCTCGTAATATTTCAACACGCACAATTTATGATTACCCTAGAGGTTACGACAATGCGAGGTACAGCGGCGCCGGCTTCGTTCTCCCTTGGTCTTCCTTCTGCCCTTGTCGAGCAAACCCGTTCGTCGGGAGTGAACGCTTCATCACAGCATTCACAGCGCGCGAGATGCAAAAGGGGTGGAACCCACATATCGTACAACGAGTGGGGTGGCGTGGGAGTGGCCTCACGTAAACCAGAGTCCGCCCCCTTGGCGACGTTGCCGGTGATTTCAGTTTCGTCGCCAGGCGGCGCTGCCAAATACTGGGATTGGACTCGACCTTGCCGGTACCCTCACTCCATATCGCGGCTCCGGCTCGTCGGAACCGTTCGGACTTACCTTGGTGCAGCAGAGTCGTCCCTCGTCTCGTACGCATCAAGCTCCGTTCGTCGTCGCGTTTCTTCTTACGGAGCACATGGTCCCGGAAGATCACTCTATACTGGACGTTCCTCCCGGAATAAAGGAACAATTACGAATGGGTGATCTCCTTCATCATCAGTGTGACCAGTGAGGAATTGGTTGAGTGCGCGAACGATTAATTTGGTGTTTTTTCACATCGCAGTGCGCCGGGGCGATATGAAGTTTGGACCGCGAAATACAAATTGGATTGTATCGATGATGCAGGTAACAATTACGGACTTTAGTGCTAATCTGTGAAGTGACATGGGTGTTTGATTGTTCGTGGACTGTTGTCGACTTCGTTAAAGAGAATCGCGAGATGCACCCGTGAGGGCTCCTCCCTCGACTATTCTCGAAGGTGTCACGGAGGGATTCAACCCCCCACATTAGTGTCGTGATATCGGGAGTGTTGCGGGGGGAGTAACGTAAGAGAGGAGAGGACAAGGGTGGACGCGGTAGAGGTGGAAGGAAGAGAAGACCCGAGTCACAGCGGACGCCATCTCCGCGTTATCGGCAAGCGGACCCCTCGGGACTCCCCCCCGAGTAACATCGGCGTCGCGCACCCTCAGCGGGAACTACCCCGCGACAGCGGCCACACTGATGGGAGTGTATGAGGAGCGCGCCCCTCCTACCACCGGCATGCACTGGGTGAGTGTCATCCCTGTGTCCGCGTTGCCCATTGGCCGCTGTGCACCACAGCTGGTACACCCCGCCGGGGCGGCGGAAGCTCCTCGTTCGCAGATTGCGAATCTGCGATAGCATCTCCGTGAATACTTCTCCTAATCGAATTCAAGATGGTGAATCTGGGACTGCTTACATCTTTGCGAGTACGAACGAATTTTTAAGAGCTCGGTCTTTAATTGATAATTTTAATCAACGTTCCAGTATCAGGTTCTGTTTTGTGTAACGTGACGGGGTCACTTCTGATAATATGCATTGTGTGAGAATGTAGGAGACATGAAATCAAATTACTTATTCGCTGTAAAAAAGTCAGAAGAATAAGAACTTACTTAAATTATCGGTTAACATTCTTAACGTGACGAGAGAAGTTTAATCTAAAAATCAATGTTAATTGTATTCTTTGTTAGAGTTCTGTGGATAATCGGGGAGTAAGATTGTGTTTTTGCTATATATCCCTTTATCCTTCTGATATTTTTAAATTTGCAAATTATATATTACGCTTTAAGTAATGATATTGCGTTCATTCAAGGAAAATTTTCATATATTTTTTATACATATTATATATGTATATTGAAAAGTAATATATTATATATATTTAGTGAATTTTTTCCGATCTTATCAATCAATTATAAAAAAGGGGAAAAAATTAAAAAAGAAATTATTGCAATAAAAGAATTTTTTATTTTGACTCCAAATGTACACTTTCTGCAATTTTTATATAAACTGTTTGCATCTCTGATTCTCTGAATTAATAACTTATATTTTCTATATATAGAACGGATATAAATTTATTGGAAGAAATGACGGGAAATAAAATTACTCAGCTCACAATTTATAGTTACAAAACATCTTTGCATAGCACAGAAGCTTAAAATAGATTATTTAGATAATTTCTGTAATAGTTGAACTACGTAGACCAATTTATGCCTAGAAACTTATAAGTAATGGTCACTCATAATACGAACCGTCGTAAAACCGATAAGTTTCTTTCTTGTCTTATATATTAATAATTTTCTCTTCCTTCTATAATTCCCGTCAGCTATATTCATAACACACAGTCTATGCACATTTTCTATTCTGTCACATAGTAGAATGCACGCGCGACTGACATGAAATTACTTGTCAAATGTTTACTTTTACAGAATGATATACATCGAAAATCTACATACAATTTTTTTAAATAGCGTCAATATTTAAAATCTGTGTTAATATAGAATATTGTCTAAAAATATGATTACTCGATGAAATAATTTTGCCAAAACCGGACTGCAGTTTTTATTCTAAATGAGAATATGTGATTTTATACGAACTCAGCTTTCGTAGATTTCGATGACAATACAAAATTTTTAGGATACAAAGTGACCTCTCTGTCTTCGTGGACTAGAGTTTTATCATCATTATTATCATCAATGATGCAGACTAAACCTTGGCCTCCTAGTAAAAAGTCATTCTGTGAACTTTGGCTTCCCTTTGATTACAATTTTCATATAAAATGGTTGTAAACATTTTGTGGTTCAATCTTTACTGTGAGGGACCGAATTTTTTTTAAGTTTATTTATTGTTGCTGTTATTTGGAGGTTTTTCTTCTAAGAGCCGACGCTTTTGCGATTATTTTATCTTATCAAATTACTTTAGAATTAAATTCATACTTCGGGTATTTTATTAATTCTGGGATTTACGTGTTTCAAATTGTATTCAATTTTATTTGAAATGTGTACTCACTGTGAACAGTTTATTCTACGGTTTACTATAAACTTTATAAACTTTGTTGTAACCGTCGCTGCAGTGTCGAAGAATCAAATTGATTTGAAAGTAGGTGATAAAACAGAGCTCGTACAGATACGATTCCGAGACGTGCGACGGGCGCTCTTCAAACCAGACTTGACCATAAAATGTCTTGAATTTTATTTATAAATTTCTAAACCTTATAATATAATTAATAAACTACCGAGATTACCTAAACATAAATTGACAAACTTTGTAATATTATTTTAAACGGTATTTCATCAATGTCAAGAGATATATGTATATACTTCTATATTAATACCTACCTATATAAATCTTTTTACTACAATACGATTTAAACTAGAGTCTAAAAATTCGTTTTTTGTCGATTATATCAATATAAAATTTTAATTTACGAAATCATTGTAAGAAATGCAGCAGATACAAGCGAATCTGTTATTTTGAGAAGATTATAAATCTTTACGACTTTAATCATTAACTTTTTGAACTTCAAAGATTGGTTTACGTTTAATACACTGAATTATTAGTGATATATCATTTATTGGCACATATCTTCTAATTGGGAAGTAGAATTTAAAGACATAATTATATCGGAGATTGACATTTAAAGAGATTATTCAAAGGTCGTAGTGCGTATCATAATCTGTGGCGAATACTCAAAATGACGAAAATTTGATATGATTAATTTACCACCAGTAGATACTCCCTAATTATCATTAATATTATCAAGCTTTTTGAGATTAAAGAATAAAATCGCAAATAGGGAAATAAGACTGTACCGTAAATAATTAGATACATATTATACATATTTTTATATAGGCGTGTTCTCAGAAATATATCAAATATATTTTTGTCAAACTGACAAGTAATCTTTTAAAAATTTTCCATACTATTAAAAATATCTTACATTTGACCATTCTGAATACAAAACTGTGATTGCTACCAATTAAGTGAACTAATGTGAAAACTCGACAGATAATTATTCTGAAGTAACAGGATTACATGGCCAGGTGTGATAACATGGTCCACCTTCGAGTAACATTAATTTGCTCTTAATCAACCAGTCGAGGCCGTCGTAAGTAACGAGTACTGCTTGTAAACAAACGTAATTGATTGTCCCTTGTCGTCGATTAATTAAACTGACGCGTTAATCACGCGTACACTAATGGAAGAAGCGTAAAATAACATTGCGAAAGGAAATTACGGTCTTTTCGTGTAAGTTTCAATATGAGCCATTAGTAATTAATATTCAACGAACAAAATTAATATTCAAACAAACACGTTTATGTACAAATATTTATATTTCTTCTCGAAAATCTTCACAAATTATTTATTTAAAAAAATCAAGTATTACTAATTTATATACTTTATATACCAGTTTATAACAATTAAATGAATTTTAAAGCTTAAATTAAAGTTATGTAAGTATATTTATGTTTTAATATTTAAATTTAATTTTCAGATGTAAAGTTGTCGAAAAAAAATAAAGAAAATTTTGCAGTATAAATAAATTCATTAGCCAAGTAAATCAATAAATTTATCTACATCTATTAAATGTGTATAAACAAAATTATATTAATAAGTACGACGAATTTAGATTTGAATTACTTGAATGAATTTATGCATTTTCATTAGCCATTAATCAAGAGCGGAATATAAGAGCTGTAAGGACTGGTTTTGAGATTGCATTATGCATAAGTTATATTTTGATTTAAATAGTTTTTGTTCGATATATGTAACTGAAGTAGAAATACGATTCCTTTTAAACTTGACATTTAAGATTTAAGATCTTTTTGGTGTCTTGTGTAATCATAAATGTGTTTCGTGCGCTTCGGAAAGAGAGAGAGGGGAGGGGAGATACGCGTACTTTGTAGGTATATGTTCATTGAATATTTCACAGACGCTAACAAAACGTCGTAGATCGGGAAAATTAATTCCGTTTCTTCCGGGAAAACGCGTCGTGTTCTTATCAGCGATATCGTTCGATTTGGCGTCGGTTAGTCTCACAACGCGAACGTCGCGATTTTTCCGAGGACGTCCGTTTGCAATAGCAGGAGAGAAAGTGAGAGGGGACGATCAATGTAGCTTCGATGAGATAAAAGGCCATCTTGCTGCGAACGTGTCTGGCTACGATAGCGCGCGCGTTTGTGACAAGTGTAATTTATTATACGCGCCGAGATTATATCCGTCACCCTTTCCGTCTTACCCCTCCTACCCTCCCTGCGAGCCTACCGTGGTAGTCGTCGTCGCGGTCAAACGCTCGACGTTTAACTTTGCACTCGAAACCGCAACCTGGTCGGCTTCATCGCTGCACTTGTTGTTGACGTTATCATTTATTTCAAAAATGAATATACGGGGTGTAAAGTCGGAAAGAGGTATGTTTCGTTCACTCGACGACGCACTCAACGAGTCACGAAAATTCTTCGCGTTATCATTGATGCATATTTCACATTTGACAGATTCGTTTTTTTCATTCCCAATGTTACATAATTTCGCGATATTCTTTCAGTTTAAAGAGTGGCGGTTGTTCTTCAAGATAAATTTTGATGCAGGTGATTATTCATATTGTGCATAAGCAAACCATTATCGTTCTCAAAGAGTTATATTATATAGACTTTTGACGAACTCGTCCGAACTGTTCGTTAGAAATAGATGGTTCTAGTATATAAATACGTAATTCTGTGTTAAAAAATGTAATTTTATTGTAATCTCAAAGTTCAGAATTTTAAAAGCTTTGTGTTGCAACGGCTACACAAGATAAATATGACATTAATTCCTTTCTTTAAAAAATTCATCATTAAAAGTTTTACTTGTAAATAGAGGAATATTAAATATAGAAATATGCTTCGAATGAATGACATGGAAAGAGAAAATACCATTCTTGACTATTTTCTGTCTCACTTCTGACGAATATATCTCAACTGAAAGTTTCTTCTCTCATATCTCACAGATTATGTTTTCAACTTGTTTGTATGACAAACTAATAGTATTGGTCACATAGAAAACGCTTTTATTTGTTTGTTTTGATACGTAAAAATAAAAGTTCATCAGAACATCTATTCTAACTATATATAGCCTATAATAAAAAAAAGTCTGGAAATAGCTACTAAATATTTTTTGAAATAATTCCAGTCAAATGTTCAATTAATAATAGATTCTTTCCTTTCAGTCTAAAGCAGCTAACACATTAGGTAATTTTTATAGATTTTTTTTGTAGAAAA